AATTCAGGATCACTCACGACACAGAAGCTTACTTATGGATATTGACCCCTTCAGTTCCATGAGGCGATAGAGAGACCGTCAAATAGACTGCCGACCTCGAAACTAAATCCCAGCATCACTCAGTCACAGAGCCCACCTAATGGGGAACACCCCGGCCCCAGTGTGACAGTGGAGATCAGACTGAAGATACGAGTCGTAACAGAAACTAGGAGGTCACTCAAAAGCCAGAACTTACTAATGGATCCCAGTATCCTTTCAGCCCTATAATGTGACATTGGAGATCACCCGTAATTGCAGTACGATAAATATTAGAGTGGTATGATAGCCCGATGCCATCAACACCACAATATTGGTCAATCCAATATATAATGTTGATAATTGCTATATTACAACCATAGCATGTATAATTTATAAATTTCCTTAATACCAAGAATACTCGAGGAAATAAGGATTGTGTATTCGTTAATCAGAGCTAGACTCTGTTATGATTGTTTATATTTAAATAAGATTACTTACATAGCAAAGTAATCATTATATTAGTGAGATATTATAAGCGAGGACTATAAGTCCCAAATCTAAATAGAGATATCTGAATGATCCACATGATGAACCAACCAGAAGATAATGTTTAGTTTATAGAAGGACTGCACGTCCAAATATATATCAGTAAGATTTGATTAATCATATAGTGAAATAATCAGAATAATATAGATAATAATGTCAAAGGTCTATGACATGGATTAAAGTGATGTATGAACATCCACTAGGCGGACAGTCGATGTGATACAGGACCGGAGTCCTTAGATGTAAAGGCCAAAGCCTAATATAATTGATGAAATGATTAGCCATAAAATGGATAATCATAAATATATATAGATTGAGGACCGAAGCCCATAGAAGTGATTATATTTATGTATACATAAACATATATATATAATATGTATATATAAATTAAAGGACTAAGAGTCCTAATATGCTTAAGTTGAGCATATACACTAAAGTAATTAGTATTTGTTATTAAGGCCAAGGACCTTAAAATAAACTTTTATTTTATTGAATTGATTGGAACAAGGAAAATAATAATAAATATCTTAATTAATAAAGAACAAGTTAACAAAGTCCAATAAGAATTAATAGATACCGGTTTAATTAATAATTATACTTTTATATGTATACGTTTATTAAACCCACTAATTATGATGACGATTTAGGCCCTCATACTGGCCACTGATGGTTCAGGGAGAGAACCACAAGTGGTGCCCGAGACTTGTGACACGGGTGTAGGTTTAAAGGACCCTTTTAAAATGCACTAACACTCACCTTCACTACTTCTGGTAAACTCCCAGATCTCATCTAATAAACCTCCCCAATGTCTACAATTTTCACAACTATATATTATAATTAGGCAATTCCACTATTTACGGAAAGCAAAATACGTCTCTATATCTATAAGGGAGTCATACTGAACAGCATTGCTATTGCTTCAGCTGATTAATATAGATAATATTGATTACGGATTAATTCATCTATTATATACATATTTGTGCAGTGTAATAATTTGTATTATATAATAAATGTGATATGTGTCCTAAATCTTTACCTACATAACACCATATGTCCAAGGTAGCAACATATCTCTATATTGATACACCACACATATAACGCACATATAGTAAAGTTCAGGGTGTGAGACCTAGATAACCACATAGTTATCAACTAAACTGAAGTCCCTATTGGTTGTAGAAATCTCCACAGGGATCGTGGTCTAAAACCTTCATTGCGAGCTTTGACCCATCTCTCCTCAAATGATGGAACATGTGACTTCATCATAGATTCATTGATCTGAGCCTCTCTCTCCTCCTGATGAAAACTTCCACAACTAATTCAGAAATTATACTTCCTTACTAAAGCCTCCATAGAGATTTACGGATCATAATATATCATCAAAAACTCTTGGAAAATGTCACTTCAATAGTTCAATCATCGATACAAATATTTTCCTCCTTCTAGTGAAGCCTTCAGTAACCACGAACTCCCCCATGCGACACCTTTTGTAGAATGTATATAATTGTAGTATGGGTAAGTACTAAATCCCAACCAGGCAGCATCCCTCTATTTGAAATAGCAACCTTGCATTACTATCACAAACAAAGAATACTACAAAGCTAGTTATTCAGTGTGAGTAATAAAATATTTGAAATAAATAATTAATAGATGAATTTAGTAAGGGAAATATTTACCGTTTGCAAGTAATTGAATTATTAATAGCTACACAAGTGCAACAAAGTTCTATTATAACTCCATTAAATTACTTTTATTTATTTAAAGTAAATTTGCTATTATCTGAATTCTTATTGTAAATATTAAATTACCTATAACCGTTGAAGATTTTAACATGAGGATATTCCTTAACATCTAACAATAAAGTACCAAACGCTGTATAACGTATATGCCTAAGAAATAAATAAATTAATATAAACCGATATACGAATTTCTAGAGACGATAACGTACGTAAAGATTCAATTATTCTAATATATATTTTACCCATTGTATGATGTACAATTACATAAGATTTAAGCACATAATAAAACACACAATTTATAGAAAAGGAAATAAACACATGTAGAACCTAAAGAAAATAATTTTATAATACTAACATGCACAAAATAAAACAATAATAGAGAAATAATAAATTCACACAAATTATAAAAAGGAAATAAACATATGTAATACCTAGAGAAAATGATTTTATAATACTAACATGCACACAATAACTCAATAATAGAAAATAACAAAATTATAAACATGTGGTAATTGATAAATGTATCTGCATAATAATTTACATGCGCTACGCATGTAACTCGAACCTGCGACTTCAGGAAACAGCGTGCATTAAGCCACCAAACCATAGAGGCTCTCAATCTTATTATAACTTTAATATCTAACATTTAAACAAGGCTTAGATTATGGCCATAAGTCTTAACATACATCTAACCGAGTTTAATAATCCTATTATTTGCTATTATAAATTTATCTGGATCAACACATCCTAAATATTATCTTCTCAATAAATTTCAGACTGCCTCATTTAAAGTAAAAGAATTAAATCACTTACCGAGATGCTCGACAGGAACCACTAATAAAATAATTAATTAAACACTTGCTCACCTCACGGTCACTCCCGACTAATCCCTTCTAACACCCATATTGGCTATTTATAGACATTTTTGTTTACCAATGTGTATGTGTTAATAATGATATACATTAGTGTGCGTAAATCAAAGCTATCGTTTTGAGCTGATGAATTCTATGAAATAAGATTGAAACATTTTTTATTTAATATTATTTTTGTATTGTTTTTACGTAAAATTATTTAATATATCTTATTTATTAAACCATATAATGTTTCTATTTATAATTATTTTATTTTTTAAATAATCTAGTTTATAGAAATTAAATCAATGTTTAGTTAGTGAATTAAAGTCCTAAAATGAATTGTTTTTAAAATCTAATACAATTTTTGAACTAAATATTTGTAATATACTTATGGGTATAGGTGAACCGTCACACTATGTGTAAGCTATTTTACTGTAAAGTTTCATCAAAATTCGCTCAGTAGTTTTTGCGTGTGAGACTAACAAACATCGATACTCACAAACTTTTGCGTTTATAATATTAGTGACATTAAGATTTTATACCAATCTATTCTACGCGTCAATTTTCAATCAGAATAATCTTAGGAACGTCGCTTGCATAGATTGCTGAGGCATTCGTTATTCTATTCAGTCAATATGAAACTAGACTCGCCACCAATGCACTGGCAGCACAAAACATTTCTTTATTTCATTAGATAGCATTCATACAGCTTCTATTGTGTACGAAATGCAAGCGAACATCGCTTTCAGATAAATCGTTTTTAAAAAGAACTATTAATTCCACACATAAGTAAGGAGATATGTAAAAGCAAGTAAATATTAATGTAATAGAGTTATCTTCAAATTCAAATTCAAATTCAAAATTCAAAATTCAAATTCAAAAATCATTTATTCATATAGGACATTTTAGCCGCTTATGAATGTCAAGTTTTTACATTATAATTTTTTTCCCTTCGTATTAAAATATAGAATTGAATAATAAAATATGAAGTTCGATTACTACTTTGGTTCCTAATTCCCGGCCTCTTTGAAAATGGGTCTGAATATTAACTGAATAATAAATATTTATTTTGAATGTAAAAAAGCGCATATATATCCTTTTTTATATTCAAACTTTTAATGTATATAAGAAGTTAAAAATCTAAATATATATAACTCAAAGGTGACTAACGTAGTGATCTATCAACGCACAGCCCAAACTACTGGACGGATCGGGCTGTAATTTAGCATGCAGATAGATGTTATGACGTAGGCATCCGTTAAGAAAGGATTTTGATTAATTCTACCCCCAAAGGGATATAATAGGGGATGAAAGTTTGTATGCAACTTTGTCAATTTTAAACCAATCGGACTGAGACTTTGCATGCATAAAGCTACTATGACGTAGGCATCCCCTAAGAAAGGATTAAAAAATTGATAAATTCCACCCCTAAGAGGACAAATTAACGCGAGCGAAGCCGCGGGCAAAAGTTAGTATTCTATATAAATAATCAATTTGAACTTTAGCTACAATGTCAATAACTGTGTAACTATTATACAATAACCAGGTAACCCAAACGACTGCTATCTCCAAATAGCTATATTAACTAAGTAACGATAGTAAATTACCGATACGGTAATGCAGTATGGGTACTACGCTCGTTCCTTTTGTTCAGCTGTATGTATTATTTACAACTGATCTATTTAATAACTTCGATATGAATGTTGATTCATTATGTATTTCATAATGAATCAACAATTATTATATATACTCATATATTTATATCAGTAATACTCAATACTTTACTTAAATAAGACATTAATTCAATTGTAAGTTGTACAGAAGTTAAAAAAAAAAGCTAAAAATGGATTACGAGAAAACATTAAATATCTTCCTCATAGGAGAAAGAAGTGTGGGGAAGTCCAGGTATTAATAATTTATTATTATTATTACGAATGTACTTATTTGTTTATATTCCTCTAAAATACATGATTCTTCCTTACAAATTATTGTACATTGAATACAATTCAGAAGTTCGGTTCAGTTTAAAATTAATTATCAATTAAATTAAATTAACAATAAAATACACATTTATGTCTACCTGAACTCTCATTAACCTATGTAACTATAACATTTTGACGTAGTTTTTTTCTTCGGACTACTCTTAGCTGTTGGCCGCAGCTGGCCTTTACAGCTTCACCGGATGATAGGGGACGAGTGCAGATGGCACTCCAAACCAAAGGAAGGACCACCTACATAGATTGAAACAATCATACTCATGAGTACAAATGTTTGTACCATGCGATGAATCGTATGTGCGACAATAAATGGTAACAGGCCATCAAAAAAGACCGGATTATGGTTCCTAATTATCATAATAATCTAACTAACCTTATCTAATATTTAAATCTTCTTAGTTTGGTATAATTACATACAAAAAACTGTAAATTTTAGCATCGTCCTAGCGTACACAAAGAAAGAATTCGATGAATCATTGCACACCACAGTTGGAATTTATTTCAAAAGCATAATTATGGATTTTTGTGATTATAAAGTGAAAATCTGCTTATGGGACACATCGGGACAGGACAGGTATAAAGATATGACATCAAATTTTTACAGGTACGAAGAATTTCGGAAAAGTATAATATTAATATCTCAGGACAATTTACAGATCTAATCAGAATCTAGTCCCAAGCTAAGCAGAGCTTGTGTTAGAGATATTAGACACCAACAACATAAATATATACTGTTGGTGTCCAGTACCCATAAGTATACAGTATATAAACAAATATATATACTTTGTTTTGTATATGCATACACAATATACATAGAAAACACCCAGACTGATACGAGCAATCATACTTTCATAAGTATAGAGTACATACTCGTTGTAGCGTGCGACGAATCGAACCTGCGACCTTCGGAAGTGAAACGGTGTGCTAAACCGCTAGACCACCGAGGCCGTCAAAATAGAATAGAAATAATCTTTATTTCAATAAATTTAATATAAGCACATTTTAATAGTCACATTTTTTTATTCTATATTCATTCGGAACGCAGACGCGTGAAGAATGAATAGAAGAAAACAGACAAGAAGAATGAACAAGAAACTTGCGTGTTGCTCTTTTAAATAAATGCTGTTCAGAATTACATTTTTAAGAATTTTGTGTAAATATAAAAAATAGCAATGTTGACATACGTAAATGAATACTTGTGTGTGTAAATTAATCAGTCATTGTTATAATGATCATTACATAGTATAAATCAAAGTCGCTGTCTGTCCGTCCCTATGTATGCTTAAATTGTTAAAACTACGCAACGGATTTTGAAGCTGTTTTTCTAATAGAGTTATTCCTGAAGAAGGTTATATATATAAATTATACACTAGCTACTCGCCCCGACTTCGCCCGGCTATACATATGTATGAATGAATGAAACTCTTTATTGTTCCTCTGACAATTACAATTATGTATAAAATGATAAAAAAATATATAATACAATAAACAAGACAAAGAGGTAACAATGGGCGGCCTTATCGCTAAAAAGCGATCTCTCCCAGGCAACTTTAGGATGGAGAGAAGTGATTAGATTTGCGTCTGGTAGAGGTGTAATGACGGTAACAATATTGGTAGAAAAGTTATAAATATACATATAACGTAATACAATACAAAATAATATAATAAACTTACATATACACACATATATATGAATATATTATATATAGAAACCTACCCATAGAATCACTATCTATTAAAAAAAAACCTATATGTAATGATGTACACTCGTGCGAAACCGGGGCGAGTAGCTAGGCAGAGACAGTTTTTATCTTTCGTATTTACTAAATCATCAATGTAAACAATCGGATGTTAAACTAATAAACGAATAATTTCATGACAATTGAACCTTTCGACCAGGTTGCACCATTCCAGATTACTACCTGACTGGAGAACAACCACGTCATCGTCGGTAAGTTTCTTCACCTACCGTCACAAGATTTCATTTTTATGGATGTAATGGAATGGTGCACCCGCCTGCTCTAACGGTCTTCGCTGGCGGGGCACCAGTGGATGATGATAAGATGAGCATGAGGTCAGGTCAGTTGGCCCGTCGCGACATATTCACCAAGATTTTATCAGGATGGTTTCCAGGGGGAACCGCGTGGAGGTCAACCTAACATGGTACATTGATAACAATAAGATCATCAGTCCAGTCATGTTTGTTATTTATTCATTCCTGAACGGCTTGACGGATTTTAAAAAATAATAATTATACAGCCATTTCTAAAAGATTATTTTGCAATGCAGAGAAGTTTTATACAGGTGAGTGTTACTTCACCTACTTATATCCAGTATTTTATACACAGGTTTCTTTCAAAAATATGCATGGTGCCATATTAGTGTATGATACATCAAGACCAGAAACACTAGCCAAGTTAAAAGAAAGGGCAGACGATATCCAACAATACTCAACTAAAAAGAATATGGTCTGTTTTGTTGTTGGAAATAAAATTGACAAGGTGAGTTTATAGAATAATAAGTTATTTATTTTTTATTATTACATTTTACATGCATGTGTGTTTATCTTTTAATATGAAAATTTGTGCTCTAGATCTAGACCAGAAATAAAAAAAAACCCAAACTAAAGCTTGTATTATGGGTACAAAATAACTGATACAAGATACATATTATACATAGAAAACATCCAGACCGATACAAACGATCATACTCATGAATACAAATGTTTGTGCTATGCGAGGAATCGAACCCGCAATCGAAGTATAGCGGTGTTCTAAACCGCTAGACCACCGAGGCCGTCAAATATAAGTATTTTTAATGTTAATTATTAACATAATCGTCAACAGGAAAAAAAATATTATACTATAATTATTTGGTTTTAAGTTATTTTTAATTAAATTTTTCGTATTGATAAAGTATTTATTAATTTTATTTACATACATGTCCGTATATCAGGGAGTTAGTAATACATGACTTAATTATATATATATATTTATCAGTACTTGGTTTATGTGTATTTGATGATGTACAATCGTCCACGGTGGTCTAGCGGTTTAACACACTGCGTAACGGCCTGTGGTTTCGACTGTGCGGTTCGATTCCTCGCACGGTGCATTCTATTCATAAGTATGATTCAAAATCGATCCAGCCATTTTAGAGATTAGTCTAGTACCCATAATACAAGCTTTAGTTAGCTTAACTTGAGTCTAGATGGCGCTGTGTGAGTTGTCCTGAGATTATTATATTATTATTATATTACATAACTAGCTGTACCCGCGACTTCGTCCGCGTAGAATTTAACTTTAGTTTTCTAAAATAAAAGTCTAAGTTACTCTTTATTATATAACCTACCTGCCAATAAAAGTCCCGTCAAAATCGGTCCAGCCATTTTAGAGATTAGCCGGAACAAACAGACAGACAAAAATTGCAAAAAATATTATTTTGGTGTATTACCGTATTTATATTCATATGCATATTGTAAAAAACGATTATTTCAATATTACAAACAGGCAGTACAATTTTATTTATATGTATAGATTTCACCACTCTGGCGTGATAAGATGAATATCATATACGCTTTGTAACATATTTTTCATTGCTTAAAGTTAATGTATTATTTTTGAACCCTTTTAAATATTGACATAGTTTAATTATTTTATAATAGCAGCAGTCAGTAAATTAAATAAATTAAATTAAATAATCTCAGACAATTCACACAGCGCCATCTAGACCCAAGTTAAGCTAGCTAAAGCTTGTGTTATGGGTATTAGATAACTGATACATATACATAGATATTTTTTTTTTTTTTGTAAATACATACATATTATACATAGAAAACACCCAGACCAATACAAACAATCATACTTGTGAATACAAATGTTTGTGCCGTGCGAGGAATCGAACCCGCGACCATCGGTCGTAAAGCGGTGTACTAGACCGCTAGACCACCGAGGTCGTCAAAGTCAGTAGTCTATCAGTATTAAAAAAAATTAATAATATGGTTACTCAAAAACAATTATTATGTTTAGACCAATATTTTTTATGAACTGTACTTATATTCAAACACAATTGTATTATTGTTTTATGAATAAATGACTAATAATGACTCCTGGATATCAACTGATACAAACAACTAAACTTGTGAATAAAAATGTTTGTGTCGTGAGAGGAAACGAACCCGCTACCATAGCGTTGTAAGGAGCACTTGTATAAGATGATGACTTAGGCTTTAAAACCAGCTACCGCAAGGGAAACCCCAAGTAGCGCCTGTGACTTGTGACACGGGTGTAAGTTTAAAGAGCTCTTTGCATGCAATGCATTAACAATCGCCTTCACTACTTGCAGCTTCCCCCCAGGCCCAACTAAGACCGGGATGAACCTATTCCTAATACAATTCACTTTAGTATCCAAAACACAACCGGCACGCTCTGCACTCGTCTACAGAATGCCGCGGCTCACCCAACCAAAGAGGATTATTCAACTACCGACCTCCGTATTTATAGATAGTTAGTGTAGTAGGGAGAGAAGCGGAGGTAACGGTTATCTTCTGACAAACAACGTGGTTCGGTCTATAAATACTAGATGGCGCTATTTACCAAATAGATCATATTAGATGCTCAATTATATTCATAATCTTACAATAGGAAATAAGGCGGTTATAAACCACTAAACCTATATATAAGTATCTACAAGTACAGATATTCATTTTGTTAAAGATATTTTTTGTTAACAGGAGCGAGCGGTGCCCAAAAAGGATGGATTGGCGTTTGCTCAAAAACACAATATGTTGTTTGCTGAGTGTAGTGCCAAAACGAACGAAGGTATTAAATTCGTCTTCGAGGAACTTCTATGGAATGTAAGATGTTTCCTTTTCAAATATGGTTGAGAGCAATGATGGCTGGCTCATCCGTCTTACTCGTGAACGGGTGCTGCTTGTGGGGACTGGTCTGTTTGGTTTGCGATCACTGATTAGACTATTTGCTTTTGCAATAGCTGGTGGTCACTCTATTCCCCCAAGTTTGAATTTAAAAAATAATCTTTATTATTGGAAACATGTATAATTTTTATTTGAAAAGAATACGAGCTGAGTTTCTTGTCAGGTCTTCTCATCTCGCAATCATTCCGAACTAACGGTAGATTTGACATATCATAAGAGTCTGTAATAGACCTACATGAATAAAGATATTTTGAATTTGAATACATTTATATCTCACAGCTATATACTCGTAAGCACAATTATCAACCGACGTACACGTTTCCCGTGGAAATTTCTAGAAATCCATTCATAGACGACACCTCGGTGGTGTAGCTGTTTAACACACCGCCTGACTTCCGATGGTCGCGAGGTCGTTTCCTCCTACGTGAAGTTGTAAATTCTACTATGAGTTATGTATTTAGTATTACCATAGATATGTAATACTATATTATATATATATACCTATATATATATATAGGTATATATATATATATACATAGTATTACTATCAGTTGTCTAGTACATATAACATAAACTTTCCTAAGCTTGGGACTAGGTGGCGCTGTGTAAACTATAATAAAATCCTTCCTTCTTTTGACAATTCACACAGCGTCATCTAGTCCCAAGCTAAGCAGAGCTTATGTTATAAGTACTACATAACTGATTTTTGTTTTGGATACATACATAATATATATGGAAAATACCCAGACCGATACAAACAATCTTGGTCATGTATACAAATGTTTGTACCGTGCGTGCGTGAATCGAACCCGCGTCCATCGAAAGTCAAGCGGTGTGCTAAACCGCTATACCACTAAGGCCGTCATTATCCAACGTTATATTATATATTATTCTTGTATAAAAAATCTCTCGATACACGCATTCGTACTATACTACAGGATACGATTGGTGTATATATATAGTAAACTAGTTGTATCCGCGGTTTCGCGTGGAATTTAACTTTATTTTCTAAAATAAAGTAGCCTAAGTTACTCCTTAGCACATCAGCTACCTGCCAAAAAAAGTCCCGTCAAAATCGGTCCAGCCATTCCAGAGATGAGCCGGAACAAACAGACAGACAAAAATTGTAAAAAAAAATATTTTCTTCTATGTAACGTATATATACTCATATGCATGTAGTAAAAAACAGTTATTTCAATATTACAAACAGACACTGCAATTTTATTTATATTTAATTATTTTTTTTATAGACGTATAAATAAATAAGTCCATAACATTTTTTTTCTCCTAGATAACATACACTTACACGTGATTTCTGGAACACCGTGAACAATTCCAGCAATATTGAAGTCGCACTTCGGCGGAATGTACTCCCCTGCTTTTATATTTAATATCTGCAACTATCTACATGTATTATATATATAAACCTTCCTCTAGAGTCACTCTATCTATTAAAAAACCGCTTCAAAATCCGTTGCGTAGTTTTAAAGATTTTAGCATACATAGGGACGGACAGACAGCGACAACGACTTTGTTTTATACTATGTAATTATGATAATTATAAGATTTGTGTATTTTTGTGTGGCATATAAACGTCATGGTATAATTTGCAATATTAATTTATGTTATTGGAGATTTTGTGATCAATATTTTTATAAATATATTTGCATTATGTACTTTAACGATCTTTAATTTCATACTCCGTCGTTCATATAATTTTAGTAAAAAGGTGTAGATGATTACATAAAAATACACTGATTACATAATCACATATGATTACATAATAATACATAAAAATACACATACCTATTAATATACATATTATATTATATATATATATATATGCATGTAAAGGTCCAATTAATTACAAGTTAGTTACACACAATTAATTCATAGTCGGACGTATTCAAAATTGAACTTATTTGAATATAGATACGTAAATCAGAATACAGTCAGTGTATAGTCATTATACAAGTTGACTAAGTCTATAGTCTACATGAAACTAGAATAGAATAGAATCAAAACTAAATCAAAATTAATAATAATAAATTTAAAATGTACAAATAAATTAAAGTTCTAATTATATATTTATTCAATTCTATATTCTTATTGTGTTTTTATATTTGAGGCTAAATAAATTAGTGCTGGTTGGTAGTTTGTATTCATATTTCGACTTGTAAAATGTATACAAGGATTGTTTAAAAGAGCAACACACAAGTTTCTTGCTTATTCTTCTTGTGATGAGCCAGCTTTCCGAATAAGCGGTAGATTTAAAAAAATGTTGACTATTCAAAAGTGCTTAAATTAAGTTTATTTGAATAAATGATTTTCTATTCTATTCTATTCTATATTTGATATATAAAACTGTAATTATGAACTAAATAAAAAAATAGGTACATATTTCTTTATTTAATTCACTATATTTATAGATTTATCAAATCAATTATTTGATAAATCGTATTCTATAATAAAAATAAATAAGTAATAAAATTAATGTCATTATTTCATTACATTGCAATAATATGTAATTTTAATAGATAATTGTTGTGAAATGATTAGGTACTAGCTATGTATTATATATATAAACCTTCCCCTTGAATCACTCCCATTAAAAAAAAAATCGCTTCAAAATCTGTTGCGTAGTTTTAAAGATTTAGGGATACATAGGGACAGACAGCACATGTAGGCGAATCGACTACCGTAATACTGTTCCAGTTCAAGTATATCATGAAATAAAAATAAAAAATCTAGCATATCTAGATTTTTACTTTTCATACACATGAATATTCCTTGAAAATTTTTGCAAGCAGTGTCGAGTAGCAGCGAAACGTAGGTGCAATGGTTTATACCTACCTACCTACTAACGGAAAATTTGCAGAATAGAATTAGGATTATTTTAGGGAAGTAGGTATATAGGATATGATATTTATAAATATATTTTTTATATAATATGAAGAAATCATTACATTCAATTTTAATATGAATTAAATATATAAATACAGTTATTTTTTTATAAATAATAGAATCATTGAAAGTAATAATAATCTCTAGATCTAGATAATTTAAAAAGGAGGAGTGATCAAAAGACTAAAATGTGGCTTAGATCACCCACTTCAGTACCGTAAGTACAACACGAACTTTCTACAATACCAAGTTATAAAGCTGATATTTATTACAATTTCATTTAACAGTGTTTTGCAATATTGTATTGTTATTACAGCTAGCAATAACAAAACGTAAACGGAGTATGGGTAAGTGACGTCTCTTCAGTTTAGAATGTCAGTCACGCCGTCAGTCTTGTCATTCTTATATTGTGACGAATATCTTAAACTTGCCTGTTTATGTTTTATTTTTCGATAAAATAACCTTAATTACATTGTATATTATCATTATTTCATCATAAATCGTATGAATCAACAATTATTGTATTTATATTTTGCGTAACTATAACTTTGCGAATGTGAACACTGAGTGCTTACTGATTTTGCGTAACAAAGAATACGATCTAATCGTGTGCTGTATAAAAAAAACAAAATAATCCTTGAAATACAGGCTAAAAATGGATTACGTTACAACATTAAAAATCTTAGTAATAGGAGAAAGCGGTGTGGGGAAGTCCAGGTAAGAGTGTTTAAATTTTTGTTCTTGTAAAATATATTATTCTCTCTTGTAATTACAGTCTTACAATTCTACGCAGTTTAGGCGTTTCGTTCCGTTAATTGCCTATATAAGATTCATAAATGGATTGTTAAATTACCTTGAAATCAATTACAAAATTAGATTGTTAAATAAACACATAATTATCGAAAGAAAATATGCATGGTGCACTTAAATATTTTGTATCTTGGTAGAGTGAGTCAGAGGGCAGCTTTATAGGTGTTTAGTTAAATTTAGAAGAATATTACCAGCATGTACTTGCTGCATTGTGGACAGAATAATGTTGAGTTACAGAGTTAACAGTTTAAATAGGTACATTATCTTGTATAAAATGTGTATCTGTAAGTTAATTGTATTTTGTCTATGCCCTTTCTGCAAGTGTAAATGAATTAATAATATTGAATAGCAACACTAAAGCAAAATATTGTAGAAGTATTGAGAAGAGGCCTATGTCACAAGTTGTATATTATTCATTATATTTAAGTATAATAACTTTACAGTCTATGGATTGTAAATAAATTAAATATCTTAAAAAAAATATCTTAAAGTGATAAATAGAGAAATGAAATTGTATATGTATATATTTTTGTCTATGTATGTATTTATTTTATATTAGTAGATTGTGTTTATTTCTAATATTAATTTGTAGTATTGTTCTGCTTTTATTATATATACATATATATATATTCTATTGGTCATTTTGTAATTTTTTTTTCTACGAAGGTTTGTCTCGAAGAGATCACCAAGTAATTATCAAGTAAATGAATCTTAGAAATAACACACATTATACTAATATAAAATAAATACATATATAAATATATATTTCCTGTCAATATAAATCTTATATTAGATGTTGCATGCAATAAAGAGTTTATAAATAAATAACTTGACAATATATATATTGGGGGGTTTTGGCTATTGTCAGGTGCTAATACCTGTAACACTGCAACCTGTATAGATCTATTATGCTCTACCATATTCAAAAGTATAAAGAGGTACTGTAATTTTAGCATCATCCTAGCATTCACAACAGGAGACTACAGTCCATCTTTCCCGGCCACAATTGGTGTTGATTACAAATGCAAACTTATGGATGTTAATGGAGTGAAAGTGAAGCTCGGTATATGGGACACAGCGGGACAGGAAAGATACAGAACACTGACATCTAGTTTTTACAGGTACAAAAATTTATTTACTTTGTGTTACATAATTATGATATAATATGCACATACAATGAAACAGAAAAAATAATGCTCCCTATAACATAATGTGTACACACATAGTGCTAACATTTGTATTCATGAGTATGGTTGTTTGTATAGGTCTGGGTGTTTTAAAAAAATTGAGTATGTATATACAAAAAAAGTGTCCATGTATTTATATTAATTGTCTAGTACCCATAACACAAGCTCTGCTTACCTTGGGACTAAATGGCGCAGTGTTAATTGTCCAGGGTTATTTATTTATTATATATTTATTATTTATTATAAATAGTGCTCCCTATAACATAATGTGCACATCATGGTGCAAATATTTGTATTCATGAGCATGATTATTTGTATTAGTCTGTGTGTTTTTAAGGAAATTTTGTATGTATATTTTGTATTTATATTAATTGTCTAGTACTGGGTACTAGACGCAAAACGCAAGCTCTGCTTACCGTGGGACTAGATGGCGTTGTGTTAATTGTCCAGGGTTATTGTACCTATCTATGTCCATCCATTCACACAAGTACTGCTTACCGAGGGACTTGATGGCGCTGTGTTGTCCAGGGTTATTTATTTATTATATATACAAGTTTCTTTCAGAGATGCACATGGTGCAATATTAGTGTATGATACATCAGAACCAAAAACACTGGCCAAGTTAAAAGAATGGGTAGAAGAACTACAAGTGTACTCAACCAAAAAGAACATAGTCTGTTTAGTTGTTGGAAATAAAATTGACAAGGTAAGTCTTTGTTTTTAAGACGTTATTTTATATTCTTAGTGGTCGATATGTAAAAATATAGTTTTTTTTTATTTGAGAGATCGAGACCAAAATTTCATTATCGGAACCTTCATGCCTTCATAGTTTACCACTCAAAAAATTCCGACCACTCAAAGTCGAGTTTTTAAGAATAAACGCGCTCCCGCTCAAAATGTGACTTGGTTCTGTAAACAACACACGGGTAACAAACCTAGTTTGTTTTGACAAGTTATTCAAGCTTTAAGAACACCATAGACATGTCCCATAAAGTTTATTGACAAAATTATTATGAGATAAACAATATCTAAGACAGTCCTTACATGAACATATTTTCTTAATGTAAATATATAAATTTTCTTTTAAGATATGTTTGTGTTTCTTGGTCTATGTTTAATGCATTTAAAATCAATAACAATTAATAATAAATGGTAGACCGTGTTGACAGAAAGAAAAGAAGCTTTTTATTTTATTTCTAACTAGCTGTGCCGGCGACTTCGTCCGCGTATTATAGTGACCAAATAAAGAAAAAATATTCAATTATCTAACCTAAAAAAGCAAAAAAAAAGTTTTATCATTCTAGCTTTAAAAATGACAATATTCCATACACACTTTCATCTTCCATTTCAACCCCTTACAACCCTTTTTTACCATTAAAAAGTAGCCTATGTCCTTTCTCAGGGTCTAGACTATCTGTGTACCAAATTTTGTTTAAATCGGTTCAGTAGTTTTGACGTGAAAGCGAGACAGACAGACAGAATGAGTTACTTTCGCATTTGTAATATTCGTAAGAGTTACAAAAATTTATGGCCTTTGTATAAAAAAGAGGTTTCATGTGCTAACAAGCAGGAAAGGGTATTTTTAGTAATATGGACTGATGACTCATTGCCAGCAATGTATCATATCAGTTTGACCTCCACGCGGTTCTCACTGGACCCATCGTGATAAATTCCTGATGAATTGGTCACGATGGGCTGACTGACCTGACCTCGTGTCCATCTTATCATCTTCCACTTGCACCCCGCCGTAAACCCTTAACGTTAATCTTAATAAAATTATAAACGCCAAAGTTTGTAAGTATGGATGTTTGTTACTCTTTCACGCAAAAACTACTAAACGGATTTTGATGAAACTATAATAATATAGCTTATGCATCAAAATAACACACAGGCTATATTTTATGTTGAAATTTAATAGAAGCTAGTCATCTATAAAAGAAAAAAAAGTAAGTTTTATTTTTTTTTGTTAACAGGCTCGAGCGGTACCCAGAGAGCATGGGCAGGCGTTCGCACAAAAACACAGAATGTTATTTATCGAGAGTAGTGCTAAAACGCAAGATGGAATCAATTTGGCCTTCGAAGAACTTGTACAGAAGGTATTATATATCAATTTTTATACATTTATTTCTGACAGCTTCGCCACGCAGGTTCCGATTCAATTATTAATTTGGCGGGAATTTTCAAGTGTTGGAAAAGAGATCGTATTTTTAAATTAGCATACTCTCATGTGGTGGTAAAAGTATTTTAGCACCGATGACACAATTGGTATTAATACTGGCCAGTCAGATTTAAATGTCAAATTAGCTCGAAAAAGTTTCTATAAAAACAAACACACAGTGATACCAACATTCATCCTGATAGTCAGGGTGGATTTTTTGTGATAGAGTGTACCAGAGTTCTAATGCTTTAACGGTAGTTCTTTTTTTATGTATCCACTTGCTCTAATTAATAACAATAATGGCAATAAAATGGGGGGAAATCAGAAATTAGAAGTCATTTCATAAACTCGTAAAAAAACATCGGTTTCCAGAACAGATCTAAATTAAAAAAAAGAACAAAAGGATAAAGTGGAGTAGAAAAGTCGCCAGGATACAAGCTTCTTTATAGGCTTCTATATAATCTTTGGGGGATTTTGGAGAAAATTTGGAGGGAATACCAGATTTTCAAAAACACTTAAAAAAATGGTTCATCGAGAACTAATCTAAATTTTTAAAAAGGATAAGTGGCTATTATTGAGTAGATAAGGCGAAAGGATACAGACTATTTTAAAAGAGGATTTCCTCAAAATCTAAATTTTGAGGGGATTTTGGAAAAAAATTGGGGGGAATACCAGATAGTTTTCTGGCAACACCGGGCCTCACAATCTTATTTTCCTCGTAGATTATTGAGACACCAGGATTGTGGGAAACAACCAAGAGTTCCGGCAATATTCGTATCTCACAACAGCAGCAGCAGCAGCCTCAAGAGGAGTCGAGTTGCTATAATTACATTTGTTCTATATAACAGATAGCTTTGTACTCCTATAGATTGGCTTCAATGAGATCACTAGTTCAATCACGTCTGTTGTATCTACACAGGTTGGGGTGGGGTAACCTGTTTTTTTAAATTATATTTATATTAAAATATCACAAATTGTGTAGTCATAGGCATTGACAGTCAACTGTCATCGGTGTAACGCAGCATTGACATTGTGTCGCGAATCTTAGAGAACGCTTTAAAGAAATAGGTATCCACATTGTATCCACATCCACAAATTTAACACGTAAAAAGTTAAATTTATTTATTAAGAATAGTAGACAATTACAGGCTTTTAAGGCAAGGAATAAAATAAAATTAAATATGCTTAGTTTTCGTCTCAAAAAAGTAAGTAACGTTATAATAAATTGCCAGATAGTGTTTTGAATTTAAATGAAGGGAAATTTGGGATACAGAAAGCATGCAAATTATAATTCTTAGTGATTTATTTGTAAATAATATTACATTACAAATACAGAAGATTAAATGTTAAGCCAATTCTAGCAAGCAGAGCAACAATTTTTTTTTACGAGACATTGGTGTAGTTCTTTTTTAAATCTATTTAATGGCATCTCTCGAAGTACTTGTATTTTATTAGTTAATAATATATATATATATTATATGGTATATAAACACTGTTTCTTTATTAAGTTAATTAGTAATAACAATTATTTTTTACCACGCTGGTTGAAATCAATTCGACGACTCGTTTTATTGGCGGTAAACGGTTAGTAGACCAGTGGTTCCCAAATAGTTTTTGCTGCGTACCACTTCAAAAAAGACCTCAAACCTTGCGTACCCCTTATTGTAGCAATCACAATAATATTATAAATGTGAAAGTTTGTTTTACTGATAGCCACATGTACCCCTTGATGGAACTTCACGCATCCTTTGTGGCACGCGTACCATTAATTGGGAAACACCGGCGTAGACTGTGGACGATTGAAACTTGTTTAAAGATTAGTTAATATTAGTAGAAGTTTCTTTTTGTTGATGGTAATGGAATGGTGCACCCGCCTGCGCTAACGGTTTACATTAGCGGGGAGGCGAGGATTATAAGATGAGCATGAGGTCAAGTCAGTTAGGCCATCGTGACAAATTCACCAAGAATTTATCACGATGGTTTCCAGGGAGAGCCGCGTGGAGAACAACCTGACATGGAACATTGCTAGTAATTAGGTTATTAATTCACATTACTAACAATCCCATTCCACCTAGTGGGTATGTGATATGGCTAATCCTATGACCAAAATTTCATCGAGTTTAATTATACACTTCTCGCAAAAATTAAGGGAACAGAAATATTTTCCAAATTTATGGGTGATTTTCAACAGGCTCTATTTCAGTTCAACGGTTTCTTTAAACCAATCGATCAAAATTTTGAAAAATTTAAGTAACAAGGTTTTTTCTCTAACTTTATGTAACCTCTTAAAAAATAAAAAATCGATTTTTTCCGACAAGTAGAAATTTTTTGTAGTAAAATGTTTTGTATGGAAAGATGTTAGGGACTTGAAGACTTTTGAAAAACCCCATGTATGTTAAAAACCATTTAAGGAAAACTAGTCGTAATGTCATTCGTATAGAAAGTGCTAATTTGATTGAAGCCAATCTGTGCATTGTGTAATTGCTTATATGTAAATAATAACCCCCTTATTTATAAAAATGAAAACCGTCAAACCAAACTATTTGACCTATGTCATATATGTATATCACTTCATTTCAAATTAAGAAAATAGTTAATATTAAGTACCTAACTAACTTGTTTCTAAATTTGAATTTATTTTATATAAATATTTATATTGTATAAACAAATATATAAATGCAATTTAAGTAATAAATAGCACATAATGGAAATATTTTTTATTCAAATAAAGTTAATATAAACTTATTTTTTTGAATAGTTTTTTTTTCTACCACATTATAATGCAGGTCAGGTAAATAGAAGAGATTCAGAAATGAAACCGACATGAAAATACTATTGTTATTGGCTTGCTTTATTCCATTATTTGTGGTCGACGCAGTATGTCCTCTTCTATGGATTCCTATCAGCCGTCATATTTGAACTTACTCTCCTTTTATACATATCATCTTTCACACAATCCACCTTTTTTTATTGTCTATGATGTTATAACAAATTTATATTTAGTTATGGAAACACTTAAAAATACCAAATTAACCTTAATAATGCTGGTAGTTTCTTGGATTTAAATATACTCAGCGAAGTGAGGGCATGTTAAGTGTTGCCATCATAGTGACATCGATATCTGCCAATGCCTCTGACTACCTCATCTAGTATAACAGTTGTAATGATATATTATTACATAGAGTAGAGCATACGGTAGAGACAGACAGACTCTTGGAACTTTAACCTATTCTTTTGAATAGTTATTTTCTACCACTTATTGCATTCTGAATCTTTTCTATTTGGACAAAAAGAATTATTACTGTTGTATTATTATATATATATATTATGAGAACAAGAACTATGTTCATTTTATATGATGGCTTGAGCCAAGATTCGAATCTTTGGCGGTACCTCAGACTAAACTCAACTCATTCAGGCAGGCAGTTGGCCTTCAGCCGCTCCATAAGTCTTTCCGCGGGTTTGGAGTGCCATCTGCACTCGCTTCCTATCGTCTGGTAAAGCTGTAATTGCCAGCGGCATAAGAATATCGTTCTTGTAATCAGATAGCTTTCCGAATGAGTGGTAGATTAAAAAAAATAATTTAGACTATTCAAAGATGCCTAATTTTTTTTTTATTTAAATAAAGAATTATATATTCTATTCTACTGAATATCAGTATTTTATTCTTTCGAATGACGTTTTATTTTTACAAATAAGGGGCAACTGTATATTGGTATAATTATAAATTGTACACATTATATTAAGGTTTTCACAAATGCTATTAATTTACTTTTTGTAGCCTCCTTAAAGAGCTTTATTAATGAATTGTTAAGGGCTTAGTTTGGACCAAATAAAGTGGTGATTTTACGACCCCATTTTTTCTCAGGTTCAACCCCTTTTCCAGGAAATGTGTTGGGTAAACGGCCTCGCCGTCGTTTTAGTTAAAATATTCCGGCGCTCCGTTTCGTCGAGACAGTGGGAATACGTTTTCACTGAGCCTTTGTTTACGCTGTAATAGATTATCTCCCACTCAAAATAGTAAAGCCTAATTTACATTACGTTGGTTGTGCAGTAGTCTAATGTACCGCCTCACCTTTTAGTAGTACGGGTTTTTTTTTATTTATGAATATGGTAAAGTGTAGATGTGGGGGGAAAGGGGACTGTTAGTAATGTCGACTGATGATCTCATTGCTAGCAATGTACCATGTTAGGTCGACCTCCACGCGGTTCCCCCTGGAAACCATCGTGATAAATTCTTAATGAATTTGTCACGATAGGCTAACTGACCTGACTTCATGCTCATCTTATCATCCTCCACTGGTGCCCCGCCAGCGTAAACCGTTAGCGCAGGCGGGTGCACCATTCCATTATCATCCATAAAACAAAAAACTGGTGTAGATGTAGTTGTGTCTAATTGTATCTAAACCCAAATTAAGGTAGTTAAAGCTTGTATTATGGGTCCTAGATAACCTATACAAATACATAGATATATTCGTAAATACATACATATTATAGGCACATAGAAAACACACGGACCGATACAAACAATCACAATCATTACTTCAAATTTTTGTCCCGTGCGAGGAATCGAAACTGCGACCATCGGAAGTATGGCGGTGTGCTAAACCGCTAGACCACCGAGGCCATCAATATATACTAGTGGAGGATGATAATATTTAATAACACTGGACGATTCACACAACGCCATCTAGTCCCAAGCTAAGCAGAGCTTGTGTTAACGTTACTAGACCACTGGGGTAAGTAAAGACATTTCTTTTGTAAATGCATACATAATATAAATAGAAAACACCCAGATAAATAGGCTGAGAATGAAATCAGGTCATTTAGCTCATTGTGGGGAAGTGACGAATATACAAGAAATGAACAATATGCGAAAAAATTGCAAGGTGACCGCACGGAGGTCGACCTGACATGGTACATTGCTAACACTAGCGACGCTGATTTTGTAGCAAACCCTTACTCTTTTATAATTTACATTCAATTACCATACAATACAAACATTTTATTAAATAGCGTGACTGTTTATTTGGTTATGTAAACACCGATAACAAACCAATTTAATCCGATACCGGACGGTAGACTCCGAAGATTTAAATACACAGTATTTAAATGTGCTGGGTATGTACTAACTATACCTCTGACAACCCCATAGGTTATTAAAGTCGTGATTATTATAATAATATAATATATAATATCTCAGGACAATTCACACAACGCCATCTAATCCCAAGCTAAGCAGAGCTTGTGTTATGGGTACTAGACAACTGATATAAATATATGTGTTCCGTATTCCGAACCTCCTTAGTCTAAGCAGGTTGTATCACCGGCTTGCTTACTGGAGCAAAGGGCGCTCGGTAATACTGGCCACATATAAAACATGTGGCCACTTAAATTTCGAAAAAAGAATAATAAAACAATTGAAAATAAGAACTGGAATTAAAAGGACGCTCCGTATTTTTATCTATATAAAACAAGATAATTAAGGAATTATTTAACACAATATAATTGTTTTTGATGAAAATATACACTCTAGAGTGCGTGGCCACTAAACAGTACTACACATAGGGACGTTCCTGAGCAAAGGTGAGTAAGTTTGCTTACTTTGGGGTGTTCGGAGTGTGGAAGACGTTCTTCCAGGTCGAAATCGTATTTTTACTTCCTTTTCCATTAATTATTTTCTTTTCAATAAATACAGTCCACTCTCTCTTTTATATATTAATTTATAAGGATTCGTAATCCAACATTTTTTGGATGCTGCTTAGACTAAGGAGGTTCGGAATACGGAACAACGTGGATACATTTTTTTTTTGTAAAAAGATACATATTATACATGGAAAACATCCAGACCGATACAAACAATCATACTCATGAAAACAAATGTTTGCACCGTGCCAGGAATCGAACCCACGACAATAGTATAGTAAAGCGGTATGCTAAACCACTAGACCACCGAGGCTGTCATATTATTTAATTTTTAATTCCCAAATAGCTTTAATTCTATTAAATATCTGAATTCAACAAGAGCTACCTAAAACATCAATGGGTATTCGTAATTACATATATATTGAGATCAGAAAAATGATCTCAATATACAGGCTGTATAAGAGCGAATATACAGCGGCAATTCCTTTCAGAAACTGTAATCTGGTATGAATGGAGAATATACGGATTCATTTTGTGTTCGGTATCACTGAGTTTTCAATTAATATATAACAGGTTTCCAATTCAGCGTATATTTAGTATTATTTCACAAGAACTGGAAAATTAATTTTTAATTAGTTTTTTTTTGTATAAATTTCTATATAAATTTTCGAAATTAAAAAGTTAATTAAGAGACGAAAAAACAATAAGATTTCATTGCAAGTTTTTACCTTATCTAAATTAATATTAATACTAGGAAAGATTTATAAAAGATTTTAAAAATTCTTTCACCTACATAAAGCTACGTTTTTCTTATAGCATAACA